TCCTGATTCAGGGGCAAAGTCCGAGACAGGTGCCTGGGCGCACCCTGTTCCCCCCTCAAGGCTTCGCGTTAAAGCCAAAAAGGACCTCCACAGAGATGGCTCCGGGAAGGCAGGGCAGGGACGGGATGCTGGAGAGCAGCTTTCGCCTACAGCCTTGGGGGGAGGGGGGTGTTTGCAACCCTGCCCTGCTTGGCGCCCCTCGTTGCTTGAAATGGGGTGCTCCATTTGGGGGGGATGCAGGAGGTCCAAATAAGAGGCGGGCTCAGCAGAAGGAAAGGCAAGAGCGGGGGGGGGATGGGACTTCGCTGGCAGTTGCAAAGCAGCCTTCCCCCGATTGCCTTCCCCCAACACCCCCCAACCCTTTCAAAAACCATCCAACCGGATCCCCGCCTGCCTCCCATCGGTTCACCAGGACCAGGTTGCTGACAGCGGCATGGCTGCAGGGAGGGTGGTGCCTGAGAGAAGTGGGGAAAAAAAAAAACTTCCGACGGCTGAGCTGCTTGGCCCGGGACCGAGCCTCCTCCTCACTGCGCTGCCGCCGCCGGAAAGCCATTGCTCTCCCTGCAGAAAAATGGCATGCGTCGGCACGCTCACGCGCAGGAGGGGAGGGAAACCACTGCCCTCTAAAGGCCACATCGGGAGCGACACTTCAGAGAAATAAAAACTTTTTTTTTAACGGCATCGTTTTTAAAATTGATTTTCTTTCTTTTGGAAAATCAGGACTTTTTGAACATGCCACGGGACACGGGACAAATTATTAAAAATTGTGACTGTCCCGCCAAAAATGGGACGTCTGGTCACCTTATTTATATTACTTATACAGAGAAATAATATGAAATTCCAGGCCAGATGCACACAATGTAAGGCTTCAGGATTTCATGTGTCCTCTAAAACCTTCTAGATGTTACCAAATTCCCTTTTAATCTGATATAAATTTTAAAAAATGCTCAATACTTACTAGCAAATTCATTATAGATAACTCTAACTCTAACATTGTTATATCTCTTCTTGAATCAAATCTTTGCTTTCTAATGATCAAGAAGCTTAACCTGAAGAAAAATTGTAAATGTTTGTATATCTTTTTAAATGTAATTTTAATATGTGTTAATCTCTCAATTGTTCAATAAAACAAAGCTAATTGTATTTCAGTTGTTATTTTCCAATTCTATGCAAATAGCAAATGAAATATTCCATGTTTTGAATCTAATGTGAATCTAATAAATGTACAGATTAAAATCAAGAACTCTTGAAATTCTTAACTTGTCAAAATAACTTTATTTGATTCATGAAATTAAATTTACGGTAATTAACTTTAATCTTTATTCTGATCAGTCATTCACTTTATGGAATGGTTCTAAGCCTGCTATCCACAGTGAAGTATTGCTCCTTGCCCTGAAAAATATGCATGTCCCTGTTTTAACTTTGAATTAAAATTGTTGCAGTGTAAATATTTTTCACTTCATTTCCCCTTGTACTGCTAGTTTTTTTTCTATATACACTTTTAATCTTTTCTGCCTCTGTTAGTAAAGCCTGGCCCAAAAAGGCCTTTATCCTAATTAAAATAATCTTCAAAATGTTTCACAATTTTTTCTCATTTGAAGAACTACCGAATAGCACACTTCATTAGAAAATATATAGAAAAAAGAGTTGTGTGTAGAAATACAGATTCTAGAATACTGTATCATCTTTACCCCGTGTGGAATAGATTATAGGATTGCTTACAGTTCTCTTACAATTATCTTAGCTCCCCAAGGTTTGACCATATGAACTGCCCAAAACATTTCAATTAACTTTTTTTTCTATTTAGCCCAAGTTTCCCTTAGTCAGCCTGACAATGTTTGAAGCAGCAAATTGGGAGCTATAATCAAAGCAAGATAGTATCAGAATCTAATACAAATAGGCCCTAGTTGCACTCTACAGATATGGCACTTGGTCAAATACATCAATTAAGAAATAATTCTTAACACAAATTTGCTTGCAACAAAACATTTCAGTAATCGTTTTCATAGAACAAAATGGCATCTGTCCTGCTTGCACATATGTGAAACAGAGGTCAGCATCTTTGTACTGGTGCAAAAATGACAGCTATGATGATTGTGCACATGGACTCTTCACCGCATTGAGACCATTTCATTATTGTCAGTTTCCTAGATTTCAGTGTTCAAGTTGCTAACAGTTTTAGTCATTGATGTATTTGCACCAATCAGAAATGACAACTCCTGGTTCTGATCTGGCTGGTTGGTTGGTTGTGAAGACAAAGATCAGGGAATGAGCTGGCAAGCAGATTCTGGCTAGTGAATGCAGAAGGCTGTGGAGAAGCCACTGGTGGGCTTCTATAGACCCCTTATGATAATTTAACTACAGATTAAATATCACTGATCTAGAATAAAATAGGGCTATGATTCCTGTTCTTAGGAAGCAGGGTAGTTTAGCTTTTGGATGCAAAAAGAAGATGCATTTCTGCCCCCCAAGGGGAGACTCTGCCATTTGCCCCTATGGAAGGAAGAAAAATAGTTGGATTCAGTGGTTGGTTGATGTTTTGTTTACTCCTAGGATGTTTTTGATGAGCACTCAATGGAGAAATGCCAAAAGAACAATTTATAAAAATTAATAAATACTGTTTTTAACTAGAACAAAGACAACACTGAATATTCCCTTGTAATTTTTAGTATTTTATAATTTAGAAAGTAACAGCACTTTACTTTATGCTCTTACCTGAAACATCTTGTTGTCTTTGTTCACTTGATAATGAATTACGTCCTTTCCCCCTGGTATATCCTCCAGTAAACTGAATGCCCAAGTTCATGAACCTATCTGGACTGGATATGGAATCATAGGGAGAAGAATCCATTGCTTGTATGAATGGGGGGTTACCCCAAAATCTTTCCTCAGATTGTAATGCAGGACTGTTGCTTGCTTTTCTTCCTATTTCGAAAACATTGCCTGAGCTTGCCTGAAACAGAGCATCTTTTCGACTAGAAATGACATGAGAAGAATGCTTGAAATCACGGAAAGAATTCAGTTGTTGTGCAAGAGGTTGAATTTTTCCCATATGTTCATTTTTAGCATCATGGTAGATAGGATTTTTTGAGAACTCAGAGATATCTAATTGTTTGCCTCTGTCTACTTTTGAAACAGTCATTCTATTCAGTGGACAATTCTCAAAATAAGAGTTAGTGTCCTGGTTACAGTGCAAATGTGGCATTGTGGTTTCATTATTGATATTGGAAGGTTCCCCAATATTGTTCAGGGTTAAATGCAATGCATTTATTCTTGTTTCTGTTTCCACTTGTTTCAGAAATGGAAGATAAAGTTGCCTCTCTACCCTTACATTATCCTGAAAGGGACAGGTGTCTTCTTCATATGATAGTGAAGGTACAACTAAGTTATGCTCTCCAGTTGATTTCAGACAACCACAAGATCCATTCTGGCAGAAATCTGGGGAGCAGTTTTTTTTCTGTTCTTTGAGAAAGCATTCTGAATACTCGGTAAAGGAACTATGTCCTTGCAATCTGGAGAACAAAGCCTCAGGAAATGGAAGTTGAGAACAAGAACAGATGACAGAATTATTATTTCCATGAAGAGACATTATTTCTTTTTGTGTTCCTGGTCTTTTTAGTGGCTTGAGGATGTATAATGATGTGATATCACTAAAATTCTGGGGAAAAAGGTAAGAGGTAGATCTGAGTCCATAAAAATAAAACACATGCAGCTTTTTAGTCTGAATATTCAACTAATATGTAACAATTACTAACAGGGATGCAGTGGCTAAGACGCTGAGCTTGTCAATCAGAAAGGTTGGCAGTTCGACGGTTCAAATCTCTAGTGCCGTGTAACAGAGTGAGCTCCTGTTACTTGTCCTAGCTTCTGCCAACCTAGCAGTTCAAAAGCAAGTAAAAATGCAAGTAGAAAAATAGGGACCACCTTTAGTGGGAAGGTAACAGTGTTCGTGCGCCTTTGGCGTTTAGTCATGCCAGCCAGATGATCATGGAGACGTCTTCAGACAGCTCTGGCTCTTTGGCTTTGAAACGGAGATGAGCACTGCCCTCTAGATTTGGGAATGACTAGCACACATGTGCGAGGGGAACCTTTACCTTTTTAACAGTTACTACAGAAACTCCAACCTGTACATAAATATTATCAACACCCAAAGAAGAGTACAGCTTGGGAATAAGGGGGAAAATTTATGGACTGGAAGAAATGCTAGTAATGTTATGTTGATCATTCTATTCCCATACAAACTGCAACATTTTAAGAAAATACTTCAGAATTTTTAGGAAAAAATAGCATTACAGAATACTACCAATAACTCCCTTGGTGGGTTAGAGCTGTGGAAATTCTTTGGAAGACGTGCTTCTCCTCACATGGGAAATGCAAAGGAAAGTAGCAGTGCATGCATACACAGAGCAAGTCCATAAGCTTGGATAAAGACATAACTGCCTTAACAATTGAAAAAGATCAGAAGTACTTATTTTGAAGGCTGTATGCCATAATTTATTTATTTAAAACGTACATATAGCTGTCAATTCTAAGCAGTTCTGGGCAGTTTACAACAATAATAAAATCAACAACTATGAAACAATAATAAAACAGTAAGACAATAGAATAATAAAACAAAAACCTGAGCCATAATTGTCTCCTTAGGATGCTCTACAGCAAGCTGCAGTTGCCCTCAATCTTTTCTACCCATACAATAATGAAAGAAAGTATTCACAAAGTTGAATTCAAACTATAGTATTACTATTATTAAGTTGCTACTGAAAAATACTGGCATTCAATATAGCCCTACCCTGAAGAGGAAACATCTGTAGCCCAATAATGATATCTCAAACAAGGATTACATAGGGCATCAGACTGTTAACACTGGTACAGTGATAGCCTAGGATATCTTAAACAATGCTACAGGAACAATACAGGTTGTTGTGTTATCACATTAATTTGAATTAATATCAAAATATATGTGAATTGCTGATTTATAACCTTTTTCCTAAGCAGCATTTTCTGTATGTGATTTTGCATAGGATTAGGAATGACTTGCAATACTGTATGTTTGTTTTTAATTTAATGCAAAAGTTTTGTTTTTTTTTACAATTGTATTGACATAAGCAAATATGCTTAGGAATGAATTAAAACATCCAAACAAATTCAGTCTCGGGAGCTATTTTGGTTTCTTTCCTGTTTCAACAACAACCGAAGCAACAGTATAACTGAATTATACACATCATGCTTATATCCTGGACAACTGACCTTCAAAATCTTTTCTGGTACCTCAGGCAGAAGTTCCTGAAGCTCAG